AATTTTGGAATGTTTGAAAATGTGTAAGCACTTAATGAGTCTTCTCATTTAGAATGCGGTAGGTAGTTGGGTGATCTTTGTGTTTAAGTGAAAACCCTACCATAGAGGCAGGCACCCTGTAGCCCATAGCCCTCACTTTGGGACTAGGAATAACAGGCAGTGTTTTTTTTAATTCTTTGATCTACTGCGCCTAAACTCCTTCTCCATTATCATCATTGGGGTGAGTTGTGGAAGATGTAGGAAGTGTGTGACCTTGACTGGCCCAGGTGTGAAAGGTGGCTTTATACTGACAATACAGGAAGATACAGAGCCCCTCTATGTCAGTAGCTATGTTTAATGGGCTGATCAAAACTTGGTTTGGCTGCTGTGGAAGGAATTTGGGCATGTTTAGAAAGTTTTGATAGTTGCTCCATAGGAAAGGGAAGCTAGAAGGGAGTACTTGACTAGAGTACTCAGGTGTCAAAGCTGGTACCACTCTGATACTGCATTCTGCTTCTTTTGACTCAAGGTATTTAAAAAAAGAATGAGGGTTACCTGAGCTCCCCACATCATAGGTTCTGTCTTAAGATATAAGCAGTATATATATATATATATATCAAACTTGTGCATTCAGATTAACCAATCACTTTAAGTGGAAAGGCTTTCTCAGTGTGTATGGGAAATGGGGAACTAGAACCTATTGTTCTGTTAGTTTTAGTTTCTATTCCTCTCAGTATGTCACGCAGTTGTGGCAATAGTAATTACATACTGAACAAATATTTTATGCAAATTCTATAGTTGCACTCCTATGTAAATGTTACTGGGTTGATCTGCACATAAAGCTTAATTTCTGAGCTGTTTTCTTCAAAGGTAATTTAGATAAGGGTTATTTTACATCTAACTTTGGACTTTTAACTTACCCAATAAAATGAGACTTCAGTCTAGTTTAGAAGTTTGTACTGTTGTTATTTGGCCTGGTGAAGTTTAAAAGATTTGTAGTCATGTGTTTCAAACAATTTGGAATTGCACTGTCACACAAGTAATTTGGACATTGGTACTTGTATTGAAGGCTAAATTTCATGGCAAGAAGGTAAAGGAAGCCATGAGTGCTCATATTCTAAATCTGATAAGGGTCAATACTGCCATTTGAGAATAAGAATAGTGGCCTTTGTGTTACAATTTCTTAAATTAGAATTTGTGTGTAGAATAATATGAATTTGGTTTGTGTGTTGTATTTTTAGTGTCCATATATGTATCAGTTCTGTTGGTAAAAATAAGAATTTAGTAACTGTGACAGGAATGGTAGCTCACTGTGATTGTCTTTTTGAAACTACTGCATTACAGGTAGTCACAAACATCTTGATTGCCAATTTTCTTGTGGCAGGTTTTAATTTCTTGAGTTCTTCAAATCAAATGCTTAGGAGCATTATCCAAGATAAAAGTGTTAGGCTGGGTGTGGCGGGCAGACCTCTGAGCTTGAAGCCAGCCTAAAAGACTTTCAGGCCAGACAGGAATACAGTGAGACTGTGTGTCTGTGTGCTGGGGTTGGGGTGGAGGCTATAAACAATGCTTATTTAATGCTTACATTAAAAATGATGTTTCGATGGGCGGTGGTGGCGCACGCCTTTAATCCCAGCACTCGGGAGGCAGAGCCAGGCGGATCTCTGTGAGTTCAAGGCCAGTCTGGGCTACCAAGTGAGTTCCAGGAAAGGCGCAAAGCTACACAGAGAAACCCTGTCTCCAAAAACCAAAAAAAAAAAAAAAAAAAAAAAAAGATGTTTCAACAGTCCCATGGATGACTGCATCTTTCGTGCTACTAATGGGCAGACCTATATGTAATTCATAATGTATTAAATGTATGTGTTTTGTAGACCTTAAAAGCTTAAAGATGCTTAAAACCAGAGGCCTCCTTTGGTCAGAGTGTAATAATGAACCGGGTGCTCACTTGAACCTTCCTTAAGCTTTAAAAATAATTATTTTTCCTTTGTATTTATGAATAAATCAGTATTTCAATAATCTTAACCCTCAGACCACTTTTTATTAAACCATTGTTTTCTCATCTATGTGCTCCATGCTTTTATTCATGTCTTATTTAAGTCCTTGGCTTGCTTTTCTGTGTTTCTTTGTGCTTCATTCCTTCAGAATTTTTTTTTTCTGCTGTATTGCACGCTCTGAACTGAGGCTGTAGGTGATCAGATAGAGCTTGACAGCCACTGTCATGGTTTTGCCCTGTGAACTTCTCCTGTAGAGGACTGATTAGTTTCATGAACTGATTTGGACACCATCTCCAGAGAGAATTACTAGCTTTGGGGTGGGTCCTGTGACCCTTAGTTCACTTCATCTTTGGTAATTATTGCGTGTTTAATTCCAGCACTCGTGAGGCAGAGTTTCAGGCCAGGCTGGTCTACATAGTGAGTCCCTATCTCAAAAACAAACCAAAAAAGTACACCTGTCTGAAAGTTGTGATATGTAACACCCGAGAAATATTCTGTTTATTAAAACTTCTGAAGTAGTGGTTAGAAGTTAACCTCTTCAGTTCTAGGGTGGCTTTGCTCTGTATTCTGACAGCCATTCACTTGCTTCTGAATAACATTTACCAGGGCTCCTTAGAGACAGCTCAACAGCTCTCACTGGACTTTATCCACAGGGTAGCATCACTGTCAACTGAATGAAAACATGGTACTGCCTTTTCTTGTTAATGTCAGCTGACCTTGGCTAAGTAGATGGGTAGAATTTCCTTATTTCAATCCCAAATGTCAGCTAGGTTACATCTTTCCCATCATGGTTAACAGAGAAGGAACAAGTTGAGTATATACTTTAAAAATCTAGTTCTGGCCAATGTGGTGGTACACACCTTTGATTCCAGCACTCAGGCAGAAGCAGGCAGAGCTCCAAGTTCCAGGCCAGAGAGGAATACAAAGTGAGACCATGCATTAAAAAAATAAATTTAAAAAATCTTAGCTCTGCGCCAAGTTTTTTTTATTAGAAATACCAATCTGCCCTGCTAGTCAGGTAATTCAGATCCTCACAGGCACTGATGTAGCAAATGTTGTATTTCCTAGATTGAAAGATGGTTTTAAAAAATTGTTTGTTAATTGCTATTTCCATTTTCTAATCCTTTTTCCTTAGAAACCCACAATCTGCCAAAGCAACCTCCACTTGCCCTAGCAATGGGACAGGCCACACAATGTCTAGGACTGATGGCTCGATCAGGAATTGGATCCTGTGCATTTGCCACAGTGGAAGACTACCTACATTAGCTATGCACTTCAGGAGCTCACACTTACATTGTGGCAAATAGTCAACATGGAAGTAGACCGGCTCTGCTGATTTGAAATTTAGATTTTTTAATTATGTACTGGGGACAGGTTTTTGTCGCTTTACATTGCTTCCTAGTTTACAGCATGATGCAAATGATTTTCTAACTTAGTGTTAGGAGAAAATATTTTCCATCTTTTAACCTCTTAGTTGTCTAAGAGTTAAATATTACTGAATTTCAGACGTTCAAATTGATCATCAGAAATCCTTTAAAACAATTACCTAAAAGAAACCAAAAATCCTGCCTTCTTTGTTGGGGGGAGAAGGGGGGAGGAAATGGAACAAGTTGTGTTTGTGTTAGCATGTGGGTGATGTAAACTACAAATTGGGAGCTGTTCCGACCCCCTGCTCCTGTGTAAGCATTCAATCAGTGTAACTTGCAAAATGCATAAACATCCGACAGTTTGAATTTAATAGTGTTGATGGAAGAAATCATTTTTAATGTGTACTGTAAAACTTGAAATACTCAGGAGCTGAGTGAGTACGTTTGTTGCTACTTACAATCCCGACCTGTTAGTCCCAGTAGTTTTGTTTTAACATGGTCTTTTTCAACTTTGTTTCCTGTTTAACTACAGATGACTTCTGTTGTAGACTCACAAGTTTAACTGTTGTATTATAACAGTATTACATGTCAACAGTGTGGTTATGACCTTTATTTATATAAAAACCAAATATTTAGTCAATTTACCGTGTCTTAATTTAATCTTTGTACACCTTCCATTTTTAAGTGCTTAAATGAGTACTATATTGCAATAAAAATGTAGTGATATAATTAACCAGCCATTAAAAATTTACTTCTACAGATATTAGTGTCAATTGAATTTATGTATTAGGTTCTCATATACTTTTTAGAGCAATTAGTAGCAATGATTCTTACTATCAGCCCAAGTTAAGAGTCTAACACTGCCTTCAGGTGACTGCATTAGTCAAACCTGATATTGTATGTGAAAAGAAAGTAAGAATTTAACAGGTACTGTAACTGCAAACTTCCAAACTAGTTAATAAAATCTGAAAAGCTGTTCTAGGGCTGACAAGATGGCTCAGCAAATAAAGGCACTTGCTGCCAAGTCTGATTACTTGAATCTAGCCTCTGGAACCCACATAGTAGGGAACTGTCAATAAAGGTTGACTTCTGACACACCATCCATGTATGCACACACATACCTTTTCTTTAAAGAACAAAGCCCCCCCACACACACACTCCCCAATTATTTCAGATTAATTTAGTCCATTGCTAGACAAAGGTGCTGGCTGACATTTCAGTCTTCCCCAGAAGACATTTACCTTCTCTTGGGGTTTTTCCCCCATGCTTTTTTGTTTTGTTTTGGGTTTTTTTGTTTGTTTGTTTTTCAAGACAGGTTTTCTCTGTGTAGCTTTGGAGCCTGTCCTGGAACTCACTCTGCAGACCAGGCTGGCCTCAGGCTCACAGAGATCCGCCTGCCTCTGCCTCCCGAGTGCTGGGACTAAAGGCGTGCACCACCACCACCACCACCACTCGGCTTCCCCCCATGCTTTTTAACAACAATGACTTCTTACTCCCTGACAGCAGAAACCATAGCAATAATACCAGCATAGATTTTCAAGCTGTACTGAAGACTTCATAGATGGTCTCTTCTTGTGTCCACACAAGGATGAAAATTCCTTTCTAACTACTTTTTTCTCCAGGACACTAAAAGTATTTCAGAAAGAAACGTAGCCAGCTGTTTTCCAAGACAAAAAGGTTTATGGTTTTTATAATGATCCTTTACAATGATTTATGAATAACTATAGATTTTGAGAAATCAGTCCTTTCTACACCAAATAATCTTAAATTTATACATATGAAGTACAGGTTCTTCATTTAGCTTTATTTCAATTCACTTATAACTTTTCTTTTTCATCTTTCTGGCCATCCACCGTTTTTTAAACCTCTTGGCATTTTGTTGTTTCTGAGCACCTATAAGAGAACAACAGAAAGCTTCATGTGAATGAATATTCAATAGGTATTAGTTAAAACCCTGAGAAACATAAAATTCAGATTCTTTTTTGAGAGTGTGGTTTACATAAATGGATACACTATAAAAGTAGGTCTTTCAATTTATAATTATGACCCCTCTGAGCCTTCCAAAAACACTTCCTTTGTACAATTACTAGAGTAAAGAGCAGATGCTCCATCTTACCCCAGGTGCTGTTGAGAAACTGGGCTGCGGCCTGTTTCACTGGTAGCCTCTTGTTGTTCAGTGACAGGAACTTGTTTACTAAGGAGAAGAATTACTTATCATTTCTTTGTCATTGTGAGAGCGTGACAGACAGACAAACAGACAGACAGACAGACGTGGTCCATAAGAAAATTACCAGTAGTCCTCTTGGATTCTGAACCATATAAACAATTGTGGATGAAGTGTTTGGCTGCTTCTTGCCTTGAATCTCTCAGGTCTTGATCTTTTAGCCTTACAGCCAAGTAGCTTTTGGTCTGACTGGTAATCAATACAAAAGGTCAAAATGAATTAGAAGGTACATGCTGATTCTCCCTTGTGATTCTATGTGTGTACTTACACACGTATGTGTGGTACTGGGGAGGGTCAACCCAGGGTGTCTCACTAAACACTACCATTGAGCTGCATCCTTAACCCACCTTTTTTATTTGGGGACAAGGGATGAGAACTGTCAAACCCAGGGCCTCACGAAGGCCAGGCAGGTATACTCTACTCTATTACTCCCAGTCCTACACGACTTCAAATAGTCATTTTGTTCTTGCTCATCTACTGTCTTTAAGTGATTGTATGTGTTACACAATACTGCTAAATCACATGCTGTTTTATAAGAAAAAGATATGCATTAACACAATTTAAGGAAGCAAGTAAATGTTACTATCAAAACTGGTATTTTTCTACAAATAACCCAATCAGATACACTACTACTTTCCCCTCATAAGCCAAAACTTGAAGGAAACTTTACATCCCAGTGGGAAAACAACAAAACTCTTTACCTGACAGACTGCACTTTTTGTATTTTAACTTTCTTGGAGTTTCTTCCTTTTGCAATGTGTTCGCTTTTCTTCTTCAAATTAACTGAAAAATTAAGATCCACTTTGTGAATAGTATTTATATAAATTAACACTTAATGGTGCTCACTTAATGTGAGTGCAGGTTTTATTTGGAAGAAAATAATGGGGAATGGGCTTGAGCCAACTTTGGCCAGGCCTAAGGCCCTCAAGCAGCCAAGATCATCTGCAAATGACCTCACCCTTATATGCAAAGTTACTTGAATGAGAACAATCCATACCTTTTACATTTCCTGGTGAGTTCTTTATGCTGTGGAAAAAGAACAAAAGCTCAGAATGTCAGGCAGTAAAGAATACTCCAAACAAGTAACATTAAGATCCCCTTCCAGCTTTTATGACCACTACCCCTAACTTTGATTCATTATGCCACACAGCACTGCCACCAACTCAGTAACTACACTAACATGGGAGTGTCTTCTCAGAATTTAAATCTGAGCACTGTTAGTAGACATCCAAAGAGTATGCTCAATGTTCTGAAAAACTCAGGAACTGTTTGTATAACTCAGTTTATCTCAACAATGAGAAATAACAGATTATTCAACAGTTTGGACACTGGAGACAAGAGACAGGCTCCAGACAACTATCAAATGACTAAACTGCCTCAGAGATGAGGCACAGAAGCAGCCGCACAGATCACACAGGAGAGAGTGATAGGGGAGCGTGAGAAGGGACGACACGAACTTGGTTACGAAAGACAAGGACCTCACCAAATATCTGCTTACATGCCTCATGGAATTCAAGATCGGAACATGGAAGGGCAGCCACGTATTGTTCTGGTAAAAATGACTTCTCAGGTTACACTAAGGCCAGGTGTGGTGTTGCACACCTTTAATCCCAGCACTGAGAGGCAGGCAAATCTGAGTTTGAGGACAGCCTGATCTACAGGTGGAGAGGACAGTCAGGACTACACAGAGAAGCTGTATCTAGAAAAGCAAAAAGAATGCACCAAGGAGTGCCAAGAGGTAGAGGAGTAAATTTCAGTAGGGCTTACTTGATGGAAAGAAAGACAAATGTAACTAAAGCTTTGGCTTTAGTTTTAAGTACAGACCACAGGGCAAAGCTGCTAAATGAAATGGGGATGAGGAAGGGCGGGGGCAGGTAAAACCAGCTTAAGAAAAGTTTGGATTTTAGGAGCCTGTGGTTAAGTGCCTGCCACACCACTAAATGGTAAGTTTAAGTCACCGATCACTATTCTGCCCCAGGGCAGGTGCTGGGCAAAGTTTACTTGATAGACTGGGATCAGGAACTCCAAAACCACTGTAGCTTTTAAGTTTGGGCAAATTTCTTCAGTTATATAGACAAATCAAAGGTGGCTTTACATAAATAGAAGCCCTGTTACTTACTCAGCCTCTGAAGCAGCAGTTAGTTGCTCTAAAACAGCATCTGGAAGCAGCTTTCTTTTCTTTCAGAATGAAGGCATGAAGACAAGTTAAAAGTGACGTACAGGTATTTCCGGAGTTGCTTCTAAAAAGTTACTCATTTCAAACAGCCCTGCATCCGGGCCAACACTGCCCTGCTATACTACTAAGCCGTCAGAAAGAGTGGGCTTACAAAGCCCAGAACAGTCTCTGTAACTGCCCACATTAGCTCAACGTTCAAGTGCCTCTGTGACTAGATAGTATCTGTCATGGCCACTTTGAAGTCAGGTCTCTGGGATGCTAATCTGTACGTGCCATTTTTACTTTACAAATCACATTTTCAGAGCCCTAAGTTTAAGACCCCACTACCTCTGGAAGCCTAAAAGATCAAAGCGTCAAGGCCAGGTGAGGGTCAGCGCTTCCACTCTGAATAGGGCAGTCACCAAGAAGCATCAGTAACCCCGCTCCAATATCCTATTTCCCCAAGCGCCTTGAGCGAGGCAACTCTAGCCCCGGCCGTGTTTTTAAGGGACACTTCCCGCCCCAACCTTCTGTTCGATGAACAGCTCCTCGCGCCGCTTCCTCTTCTCTTTCAGCAGCGTTTTATCCCTGGAAGAAAAGGGTTCAAGTCAGCGGGAGACGAGCCCCGGGAGTCGCGAGGCGCCCCGGTCCCGCGCCGGGCGCCGCACCTCCGTGCACTCTCACGCACGCGCAGCTCCTCCTCCCTCGCTTCCGCCTGAGCGCTGGCGAAAGTCAGCTCCTCTGGGGCTTCGTCGTCACCGTCCTCGTCCTCGTCCAGCGGCTCGGCGGCAGCGCCGCTGCTCGGCTGCCCGAGGAGCAGCCCGTGCTCCGCCTCCTCCTCCTCCTCCGAGGCCGCCTGGTCCTCGTCCACCATCGCCTCCGCCGGCGCGGGGACACGCGACGGACGCGGCCGCAGCTGCACCATGACCAACGGGAAGACGGCTGTCTGACCCTTGACCCGGAAGCAGCCGCTAGCTGTGCGCGCCGCGCGCTCTCAGCGCCCCCTGTTGGTCGGGAGGCCACAAGACGCACCTAGGCGCGTGCGCGGAAGGAGGGCGGGGCTCCCCACGGTGGGTGTGACTCGGTAGACAGTCTAGGTAGGAAGGGACAGGACATCTAATGGCTCCATGTTCCCAGGTTGGTCTGATCTTCGGAACAACGGCAAGAGCGAAATAATACTTAATGCCCATCATGGTTGTGGGATGCACATCTCTGTGTATTCTGGGCATACACGGCCCTGTGGTCTCTGTCTCTTACCCGTTATGTATACGAAATGATTCTTCATGCCCTTTTCAAGCCGTGCACTTGAATGAGCTGTCCTCTCCACGCAGAACTGTTGACGCTTCCGACCTCCCACCCAGGCTAAGTTCAAGGATGGCAACATCCACCCCATGGCCACTCTGGCATGTCTAGCTACGCTATTCTCTAAACCTTGCACACATTTCTGTCACAGTTCCACACTCTGTAATCAGTTCGCATGCCAGTTGCTTCAACCATTCTGAAATCATTGATTTCTAATGTCAGTCATACACTATATGTTCAACAAATGGTTAGTTACATCATATATACTTTATACTTCTAAATCTTATTTTATCTTCTTATTTAGAAGCAATTTCCAGTTTAAAAACAAAAGAAAAAAAACAAAAAACAAAAACAAAACTGCTGGAGAAGAGGTAGGCAGAGGGGAAGGGAGCCTGGGAGCTGGATGAGGGTGGGTGTCTCTGATAGAAAATACAAATGAAAACAATTCACAGAGTCAGGCACAGTAACACGTGCCTGAAATCCCAGCACTCAGGAAGATGAAGCAAGAAAATCCTAAATTCCAAGGCAGCCAGAGCTAAAGTGAAACCATATCTCAAGAAAACAAGACAAACATTTGCAGCAGTGTGCTGATCCCTACCACAACTAACATTAAGAAAATGGAAACAGTTAAGCTGAAGTCCAAAGACAAACCTGTTGAAAGCACATAATGGAACTGTATGTACAAAACCCACATTGAAAGTATCACAGAGGGTGGAGAGATGGCTCAGTAGTTAAGAGAACTTGCTGCTTTTGCAGAGGACCTAAATTTCGATCCCAGAACCTGTGTCGAGCAGCTCATAACCATCTGTAACGCTAGCTCCAGGGGCTCCAACACCTCTGGTCCCTACAGTACACATACCCACTGCAGACACACACACTCACACATACTTTTCAAAAAAAGGGTCTCACTGAAGTTATTACCATCCCCTAGCTGTACAGCCTTTGGTCCGCCCATCTAAAGTATGACTCTGGAGGTGCCTAGCTAGTTCTCCAGACTCCCAGTAGGTGGGAGAAACTATCTTCTTGACATTTAGGGACCTTTAGGATTTGTTACAAATGACTGTCACATATGGTACACGTAACTGTACCTTGTTGCCAGTGGTAAGTCATATCAATTGTCAATTTGATTGTTTAATAAACATCTGTGGGGAGCCATGAAGTTCTGAGTGAATGTGTATTGTTGACATGGGCGTAGCCTTGACAATGTCAAGGGCCCCAATGCCTCAGATCCATGGGAATGGCAAAGCCTTCCCTGGGTCAGGTTCTCGGGAATGGCAAAGTCTTCCTGTGCCAATGTTGACTGTGTGCAAAGGCTGGCCACCACCGCTCCCCGCTCTTGGGTGACTGCAACCTGAGACTGCCCCCCTACAGAGACCTCCCATGGAGTCAGCTGAAGCCTTCCTCCTTCTGCCGCACACAATACACTTGCTGAGTTTCCAGGCTGCATAGACAGTGCCCCCATCAGAGTGGCACAACCAACCCGACCCCAGCTTTTCTGCATGTGTTTCTGTCATCTGTCCCTCGTCTGTCATTTCTTCATTTCTGAGCTGCTCCCACCGGGTTTCCAGCACCCAGCCATGCACCCCTCACCAGATGCCTTAATGAGGCACACCTTCAGATGTGTCTGTAGGGAGTTCCCGGAGAGGGTTAACTGAGAAAGAAATCCCCTGAGTGTGAGGAGCAGACTGGATACAAAGGAGAAAAAGAAAACGAGTGGAGTCCTGGAGTCCCTTTCTCTGCTTTCTGAACAGCCATGGACCAAGTCATTCCCTCTACCATGCCTTCCCTGCTATGCTACATTCCTTTGAACTGTGAGCCAAGCTAGACCTTTCATCCTTTAAATAATTTTTGTCGGGCATTTTGATCACAGCCATGAGAAAGGTAACTACTGACTGAAATAAATGGAATTCTGGGAGGGGCTGAGGTGAAGCAGGCCAGGCACATAGTTACCTGGGGGAAGTGACTGGATCCGAGGGAGAGCCTTATGTATGTCTTTATCCTCTTCACTAGTGGCCACGGCTCCTCTCTAGGCCTCTCATCCCTGCCATAATTCAGGTCCAGTGCTGCATCAGCAGGTGGGGCTCAAAGACAGTGCAGCATTCTTGCTATTATATTGCAAGGTAGAAAGCTCATTTTCAGGGTCCCATGGAGCTCATAGACCAGTAGAGACCACATGCTCCCTCATTTATGACACTAAGAAATGATGAAGACCAGCGGGGATGATGCTCTCCTTCATTTACGACACTAGGCAGTGACCACCCATCACTCCCGTCCCTCAGAGGCAGCTCTTCTGCTTCGTCCAGGATCTGCCTTGTCTTTTTCTCATCCTGACGTTTCTACTTGGTTATTCCTTTTCTCTCCTTGCATGAGCTCCTGCTGGAAGTTATTCCAAGTTCTTTAAGGTGAGGCACCCAAGTGAGGTAAATACCGAAAAGGAAAAGAAGCCCCCAACAAAGACAGCTCTTGGAGGAACCTCCATACACAATAAGTATCAACTATAAAGGATGGTTTCTTTCCGCAAAAAATTTGTGCAAATAAATAAATAAATACTAGGATTTAACGTTTAGTGTTTTAATTCTCTATTTCTACCTTTGCCCAAGATGCAAACAATTAGGAATGATCACCTTCTTCTCAAGCAATTTAATTACAGATGTTTCCCTCCCAGTAACTGACCAAGAACAGCAAATCCAAAATACTCATACTTCAGTTGAAATTGAATGATACGGGAGAACTTGACAGCCTGTCCGATCCCGCCCCCGCCCACCCACCCCCACCCCCAGAGAAAACACATTTGCTGTTGGTGAAGCCCGATCACCACTTCACAGACGGACTGTCCTCTAGGGACACGAGGGGTGTTTTTAGACTTTCCAAAGTTCAGTTCACCAGCCACAGAAACACCTCTCCTGCTGGTGCCCTGGTTATGTGCGACACAATCTTCTCCTCTTTGCACAGGGTAATTAAGAAATCCTTTCAGTTTCATGAGGAGCAAGGGCTTCAGGAAGAGTTGTCCCACAGGGTCCTGAAAAATGAAACCTAAACAGAAGGAGCAATAGAGCAGAATTGGGAGATACAAGTTAACAAAAGGACACGCAACTGCAGCTGATAACACACAACTAATGGTGACTTAAATTTTTAAGGGTTTTCTTTGGTTGTTTGGTTTTGTTTTTTTTAGGCAGGGTTTCTCTGTGTAGTTTTGGTGTCTGTCCTGGATCTTGCTCTGTAGACCAAGCTGGCCTCGAACTTACAGAGATCCGCCTGATTCTGGCTACCGAGTGCTGGGATTAAAGGTGTGTGACACCGCTGCCCGGCAAGGGACTTCTTTTGTTGGTGTTGGACAGGGTCTCACTATGTAACCCTGACTGGCCTGGAACCTGCCATGTAGACCAAACTAGCATTGACCTCACAGAGATCAGCCAGTTCCTACCTCTCAAGTGCCAGGATTAAAGGTGTGTGCCACCAAACCTGGCTTTTGTGGACTTCTTTTATCCAAGTTCTGACAATACTAAATGTAACACATCACAGACAACTGTCTAAAGTCTGTATGCTGTAAGACTTTTATTCTGACAGATGGAGGAGGCATGATTGCTGTGTGTTTTACCTTAATAAAGCCAAATTCCTAAGTGAAATTATATATGTATCCATATTTTTATATATGAAGACACAAATGGGTGGAAAGATATCCCATGTTCATGGATTTTAAGAAAAGAATTAACATTGTTAAAAATATCTATACTCTAATCCTTATTGCAATTCCTATGTCATTTTTCATGATAGATATAGACAAAGAAATAGATGCATATACAAACTTCAATAACTGATAAACTCACGAGCATAGTAAACAAAACCAGAGCCTCTCCAGTAAATGACCTCCTCACAATATAGTACAAAGTGACTGAAATTATAATAGCATGATACAGGCATAAAGTAGACACATCAGCCAGCATTACAGAGTAAAGTACAGAAAAAAATCTGTAAGTCTGTGGTCAGCTGACTTCACAAACCTACCAGTCTTTAATAAATGGGGTTGGTAAATTACATAGCCACATGAGGAGAAATGAAATTGGACCATCGTCTCATATAATACACAAAAAGAAATTCAAAACTACGAGAAGGAAATAAGGGGCTGGGGACTACACAACACTGGTCAAGGCAACAGATTTTTAGATTTGATTTTCAAAACACAGGCCACAACAGCAAGAGAAGACAAATGTGATTATATAAAATTAAAATCAAGCCGGGCGGTGGTGGCGCACGCCTTTAATCCCAGCACTTGGGAGGCAGAGCCAGGTGGATCTCTCTGAGTTCGAGGCCAGCCTGGGCTACCAAGTGAGTTCCAGGAAAAGGCGCAAAGCTACACAGAGAAACCCTGTCTTGAAAAAAACCAAAAAAAAAATAAAATAAAATAAAATCAGTTTGGAGAATAGCTCAGTGGTTAGACTCTGTGCTGTGCTACCCTAGGCTACACCCCTGTCATTGGAAGAAGAATAAGTAGCCACTAGAACATGATGTGGGCTGTATTTTAGATGGACTTGGTGAGCATGCCTATAATCCCAGTACTTAAGAGGTTAAGTGCAGGTGGTGATGGTGCCCGCCTTTAATCCCAGCACTTGGGAGGCAGAGCCAGGCGGATCTCTGTGAGTTCAA